CTTTCTCGGTATCTTCATGGCTTGGTACTTTGGTACCATTAACCTCGGCATTTTCTTTCTCGGTATCTTCATGGCTTGGTACTTCGTTGGCGACAGTTGTCGAGGTAGTAGTGGTGCTAGGGGTTGACGAAGAGCTTGAATTAGTGCCCTGTGTTGTTCCGTTACTGGTGTTATTGTTTCCTAAAAGTCTGGGTTGACTGGACGGAGGAGGAAGATCTGGATGGCACTTGCGCGCGTGCTTGAGACGGGCTCCTGGTTGAGTGAAGGACTTGTCGCAGTAATCACACAAGTAGGGTCGTTCACCCGTATGTGTGCGCACATGGCACACTAAGGTAAACTCCACAGTGAACGACTTGCCACAGACATGGCACATGTAGGGCCGGATACCTGTATGGATCCTGCTATGACGCTTCAGGTCATTGGTTTGCGTGAAGGTCTTGCCACACTCGTCACACTTAAATGGACGTTTGCCGCTATGGATGAGCTCGTGTCTTGCCAGAGTGTTACGGTGCGTGAACGCCTTGCCGCACTTCTCGCACTTGAATGCCTTTTCGTTGCTGTGCGTCTTGATGTGCGAGAGCAACGGCGACTGCAACGCAAACGCGCGCCCACAGATCTTGCACTTGTACGGCTTGATACCGGTGTGGGTACGGCTGTGCGCCTGCAGGCTACCTTGCTGAGAGAACGCTCTTCCACACAGATGACACTTGTAAGGCTTTTCCCCGGTATGCACCAACTTATGCCTCTGTAAATGCTTCATCAGGGTAAATTCTTTACCGCATTCCTCGCACTTGAAGTCCTTGACTCCCTTGTGAATCAGCATGTGACACTGAAGCGTGTAGTTCCGGATAAAGGCCTTGCCACATTCGTCGCACTTGAACTTCTTCATCTTCTCGTTCTCCTGCTTGGCGTATTCCTCTGATACTTTGATTTTGGGGATCAAAGACCTTGGGCCTGTCGGTGGCAACGGCACGAAGATACTACGCTGTTCTCCTGATTTGGACAAAAGAAAAAAAAAAAAAAAGAATCAATAGCGATGCTGGATCTACAGGGATACTATTTCAAGAAATATTGTCGAAGAATTTCAGGATAGGGATGATGAGTGCATGCTTGCATGGTCGCTTTGGGGAGGTTTCCATCTACCTCTGTCCCTTTATTTTTATCTTTCTTTTTAGTTTTTAAAATATTTTTTCGATTCAGTTTCCTACGTACAAATCGAAAATGAGCATGTTTTAGGCAAAATAAAAAAATAAGTTCGTTTCCTGTTGTGCGACCGACCCTAATTTTCTTGCTGATTTTTGCCAACCCTAATGTTTTTTTCATTCCCAAATGCACCACAGGGTTCCCAGTAAGCTCATTTCCACTGTTGTATCAGGAAAAAAAATCCAACTTACCGACCCCAATTATTTTTCTCATGCAACAGGAAACACACTTATTTTTTTGTTTGGCCTGATACAAAAGTTACAGGAAAAAATTCCAGGGCTTTTTCAGGAGTTTTTAAGTGCATTTTTTTCCAAGGCTTATTTTCAAATCTGATATATAATGAAAGTTTCAACCAAACAAATAGCTAGAGCCACTGAAGCAAAAGAAACTGGATCGCACCCCTCGTGGTTTTTTCACAATATCTTGGGGAAGGGGGGATCAATAATTTCCTGAATACAAAGGCCATTTTGAAATTAGCAGCACTTTGAACCACAGGGAGTCCAATTTAGATAAAAGTGAAAGGTGAAAATAAATTTGGTGAAAATAAAATAATTGTTTTTTAAATTTGAGGTCAAGATAATGTTCTCCGGAATACGAAAGAGTAAGACAATTGATAAAAAAGGCACTAGAAAAAATTTTTTTTGCGTGATCCTTTGTTTTCCTATATAATTCCCCTTCCCTCCCCCACTTTCCATTGTTCCTGGAATGTAAAGTGTACAGACTACATACCAGAGCTACACTTGAACTTCAGATGGCCAATTAGAGCACTGGGTGTGGTGTACATCTTGCCGCAGTTCTTACACACGAAGCTTTCATCTTCTTCTGTTGAAATGAAAAAAGACAAACACATTAATATTGAGATGTAAAATCACAAACAGAAAAAAACTACTTTATATTTTTCAACTTCAAAACCTTCAAATTTTATCAAATTGAAATAAGTATAAATGCTCACTAGGTTGATTTGAGGTTTTCTTGACTTTAACTCCCTGCTTTCTGGCTTGCTTGTCACCATAATAAGTGAGCAGTTCTTCGCCTATCTCTATGGTCTTGGTCACCATGTAGTATATATTGCTGTCATACTGCACACTTCGTATATTCTGTTCAGCGAAACTTGGGCTACAGCTCACATACTTCAACCAATTAGACTGCAGAGATTCTCGTCCGTCTATCAAGTGTATTACTTTGCCGTAATCATCATAAACCTGATAAATTATTAGAAAATAATATTATAAGTATATCATATGAATTTAACTACAACATATCAATGCCAATATACAAGTGGCAATGATATGTTGTAGTAAATTAAATGTGTGTAATAATAAATTGATAAAGATAAATTGGAGTTGGAAAAGTTGGAAAATTGAGTTTGGAAGATCATATGCATCGATCAAGTACAGTACCATTAACCATTCCATTCAGAAAGAAAGACAATATTTCTTAACTTTGCATCTAATTGATATAAAATCAGTTATATTGACTTTAATTATTAGTTTTAATTTATCAGATTTTAAAAAAAACTTGCCAGATGTTCCAAGAATTGTACAAAAATATTCAGTTTAAATTGCAACAATTGTTACAAAATTGAAACATTCAAACTCTTACAACTGTAACTTATAAAATTGAGTCATTTGATGAAATATATTTTGAAAAGAAAAAAATTACAAATACAAAAAGTTTGATATCAAAATTTTTAATAAGTGCATAGTATTTTCTGTAGTAAATTCATGTCATTCCTCTGACTTAATGTACCCTTTTCAACATTATCTTGAATATATTTAAAAAATTAAAATCTAAAAAATTATCTTAAATATATAACTTTTGTGCTTTTAAGCTAGAATTTGCATTCAAATTACTTTTGAAAAGCTGCAGTCGCAGTGATAAATCTTGCAGAAACCCTTTGTCAGTGGTCATGTCTGAGTCCTCTAACATAGCAATAATAACAGTGGTACAGGCATGGCAAATACTGTGGGGGTTAGCCCCACCCCCCCCCCCCCCCCCCCCCCCCCCCCCCCCCCACGTTTTTAGCCAAAAATAATTTTTCTGCCATTAGTTGCCTGAAGCTTTGATGTGACTTTAATGCAACAAATATGTCGCTATTGAACCTGTCAAAACTGTGTCAATGGAAATCACATTTCCAGGGGACTGTCCTGTCTTGGAAACCATAGATTAGCCTCCCCCCGCACCAACCACTTAAAACTATGCTTTGCCGTCCCTGTGGTAATAGTGTAATGCTGTTTATCTTACCTCCCACACATACTTGACATCTTTGTAGTTCTTCGCCTCTTGTGCAGGAACTTTCTTCCCCACGTAAGGACCAAAGAACTCATGCTTAGGAATAACACACCTTGCAAAGACTCCGAGACCTTGCTGGATGTTGGACGTTCGCACTTCAAGACCAGGGGGGACTAGGACATCTGCTTCGGCAACTGCAAAGTAAATATGAAATATAAAAATCATATAATTTAGAAAAATTAGTATAGGAAAGGCGAGTGCAATTAAAGAACTTTCAAAACATTACGAGTGTCTATTAATTCCAAATTCTATGAGAAGATCGTGTGATTTTTTGTTTATAGTTCACTCAACAAAATTTCAGTAAAAAAATGCAAAGCGAAACTGTTCATCTTTGTCTATTTGGCGGCTGATTTTCAGTCCATCGCGCAACTGAAATGCATAAAAAAGATTAGTTCTTACGGCTTTAAAATTTTATTTATATGTTTTTCAAGTACAAAATGATAGAAAATAACTGTTTTGACATTGTTTTGGCCATGTTGCCATAGCGACTTAATTTGGTAGTCCTACGGAGTACAATTAAAGCTATAATTGTACTCCTCTCAACCAATCAGAGTCGAGTAATTTTGTTGAGTGTACTATAAATGAAATAATTTAACAAAAACTCAGTGATTTAAAATCCTTGTTTAGAGATTTTCTTGTATTATTAAATTTATCACATATCAGCTTTGAAATATTAATATGATTTTGTAAAGTTGTTTTCTTTCCTATGTCTTTTCTTTTTGCTTCTTTTTGAAACCATTTTGCATCAATACACCAGTGAAAACTAGTTAATGGCAAAATCGCAAGCATCGGTTTGCCAGCTTGAATTAGAATTCATGATTAAATTTAGCCTGTTAGATTTTGTGGAGGGAGAAAAAATGGAAGAACCTGAAAAAAAACCCTTGAATCAAAGGAGAGACCTAACACACTCTAATAATTATTATATGTGACATAGCAGATAGGTAGTGAGGCCCTGTTACGGGTAAATTCTGACAAGCAACATATTTATATTTATATCTTATTGTATATTTTTTACCATGATTTTTATAATTGTTTAAACAATATATGATTATAAGTGCATATGCAGGGCCCCTAAGGATACCAGCTGTGTGCTGAATGGGCTACTCTGTTGAAATAAAGTTCATCTATCTATTCACCACTTGCAGAAGTACCTATGTATCTCAAATCAACATACAAAATTAAGAATAGACGACTTGCACTAACAGGTCATGTGACCCTACCTCCCTTAAAACAAGCAGTTGTGTGAAAACGAACTTTAGAAATGAAAAGAGCAGCTCAACATTAGTAAGAGGGCGAAGTTTCAGCTCATAATGTTGACTATAGGATAAATGGCATAAAATGGAATATTTTATAAGGATTTGTATGATAAAATGTGGCAAAGCTTTGCCATGCAGCATATTTTCCCATAATTTTTCCTGTTTCGCTTGTTATGAGCTAAGACTCTGTCACCCTACTAATATCGAGGTGCTCTTCATTTCTGTTGTTCATTTTAACACAGCTACTCATTTTAAGGGAGGTAGGTTCATGTGACCTGTTAGTGCAAATCATATCTATTAACTCAAGCAAAACCAAAACAACGATGTTAATTAGCAATTATTCGCTGAAGGCGAAGARAATATTGGTGGAATACCCACAAGTCTTCAAGCAGCGAGGTAAACATTCACCATAATCACTGAGCCTGAGGGGAATAATTGTTTTAGAATGATTTTAGACTTGAATATCAGAGAAAAGTTGAAATTCAGGATAAAAAACGCTTTAGTATTTACTTGCGATCTGGAAAACTTTGGAAAACCTCAAAATCACCACTCTAGCAGTGATTATCATGTCAGATTCACCGATCGCTTGTCCAATCACAGCCTGAGAAACTCAATATTCAATTCTAAAATTATACTAATAAAAAAATCAAATAATACAAAAATACCTACAATATGTAAATAAATATATCTATCAAAACCATATAATTTTCTCTTTTTTTTTCTTCTTCTTTTAATCCGTTGTTTTTAGTGCACTCTGGGTTCGAGGCAAGTGTTAAATAAAGAGGTTTTTGTTGGTCATAAGTTGTAATCAAAACCAACCGCTGTGTGCTGATCTTAGCTCTATGTAAGTAATTATTTTTGCAAACCGCATTCAAAACATCCCAACGCAAAAATATCTACTGTAAACTATCAAAAATAGCAAATATACCGTCAAAGGCGACAGGCTATTCTATCTGAACCATCTACCGACCTATTAAGAACTGGATGTTTAAGTAATGTTTGTTTTTGTAACTTGCTCGCGCGTTGTATAAGTTGTAAATAGATAAATATACTGCAGCACTGAACTGGGTTGAATGAACTGTATTTTAGTGGCTTTCCGACAATATTATGTCGCATAAAGTTACGTTTATCCCGAGTATATATCAGAAAGATAAACTAGATCTAATCGCTTTATTATCTAGAACACTGAGTTACCATTTTGATCTAGCGTAAATCCCTTATTCATGATTGACTGACTTCAGCGTGCAGCTCAAGAACTATGAATATTCAAGGGACAACACGAGTTCGTGGCAAGAAAAGGTCAAATCTTGGAAAAATATCTACAAATAAACTAGCGCTTTAAATATCATTAACAAGATAAAAAGTAGAAATAAAGAGGAATAATTCTAGGCCATTCTGGCATTTGTAGTAAGTTACAATATTTCAGTCCTGCCCTACGATGTATGCAACTATGAAGTCTAGTGCATATATAAATCATGGTACAAAACCCCTACTTGTTCAGCGCGCTGTTATGTACGAACTAACTTAATTATCACGCATTCAAGGAGTTTATTTACTAAATATTTCCTAATCTATTTCGCTTAATTCCAAAAAACCAGACATAAGTTTTGAATATTCCTGAAAACTGCAAGTCGAACTGGCCCGCAAGCGTAACTAATGYATTCAACTCCCGACCATGTGCTCGCTCAACATGAATTTTAAATAACTTACGTTTCTTAAGTTCGGAATCTGGCATATCTTCACCAAAATAATACTTAAGCTCGATCTTCTTGCGAGGAACGGGTCTGGCACATGTTCCTTTGCTTGACTTGGTCTCGGTGGATGGTTTCTCAGGTCCTGGCATCCCTTCTTCTTCTTCATCTTCGCTACTTTCTGTTTCCGAGTCTTCTTCTTCGCCATTGCTATAGTCATCTTCCTCGAAGTCGTCAGCGTCAACTCCAGTTATTTCTGGATCTGTTTGAGTCTCAGCATCTCTGCTTTCCTTTTTCTTCTGTTCTGTGGCTTCTTTACCTAGAACGTCAACGACTTAGATTCAGAATCGGTTGTAATATTTTCTCTGGATTTTCAAATTTATTCAACAGCGCGTCGAAATTTTCCACGCGCTCTGAGGCAGGATTTGCATGATTTGTAGTTACCTTTTTCCTTCTTGCTGGCCGATCGAGTTCCAATTGCCATTGCAATGGCTTTTCTTGCTCTTCAAGGGGTTTTATCTGTTCTTATTTCCGTATAAATGGACTCCAAAATTGTAAAATACTAGATCCAAAGTTACACGAACTCGAAGAACAGATACATCCAGTTCATGTAGAAAAGCAGTCTCCGACCAACCAAATATGCCTCTTTCGGTTTTTACTACCCACCTGTCAATCAAGTGTTTCAGCAGAAAACACTCGATTGGCTTCTTTACTTATTAACATATGAATGGTTTCCCGCCAAAGTAACTAATTTATGTAAATTTTGTAATAATATGAATTCCTGTAGGTTTTCTGCTTTAGCACGAGTAGAATAATGCGTGATATTTCATTCTCTAGCAAGCGTGTCAGCGTGTCGCGTGATCGAAACAACAAGAATTTTTATTCGAAGGCAAACTGTCCACAATAAACTGTGTACAGTCTCTTCCCACCCCTCCCCATACGGGGGAAAACGTTGTTTTGTACACGGAGTAGTCCGCAACAGCTTTGTAAAAAGAAAAAAAAAACGAATTTTTTCACACATAATTTTTGTATCATAAGATAACTAGAGATTTGATTGATWAATAAATGAGCAAAACACACCGTTTTATAAACATTTTAGCGGCATCAGTTGCCGGAGCTAGTGTTCAGGAAGGTTCCGCTTAAGTCTAGTCCGAAGGAAAACAATTAGGAAAACAATTAATAGCAATGTATACAGTACATTCTTCCATATTGCACGTTACGTCTTCATGTATACGGCGTCTCGGGGGAGTGTTGGTGTTATTTAACGAACATATTTGTATGCATTCATTAGTAACGGCACCAAATTTTTGTCTTTTGACTCTCTTGGGAATACCTGGTCAAAGAAAATGAGAATCAGAATGAGACCGGCAGGTAAATGCTATTATAAAATCTCTGGATAAATAAAAACAGTAAAACGTAAAGGGAAAATAAAATCATATGTTGAAGCTATCTGCACTTGCTCTGGCGTGCCATAAGCCGGGGGGAGGGGGGGGGGTGGTAATCCCCTATATTTGCTATACGGACATATGCCGCCAAATAGGGTATGGTTTTTCGGCTTTTGGGTGTGGGGTAGGGTATCATTTTTTGACATTTTGTCTGGGATAGGGTTGCGATTTGGTCGTTTTAGTCTGGGATAGGGTTAACAATTTGGTCGTTTTTGTCTGGCGAATAGGCTACGCTTTCTGCCGGCACAAAAACAATAAAAACGTTAGTAAATATTGATTGCAATCTATTGACTAACCGGGTTTAATCTGGGATAGAATGTACAATTCTTAGTTTTATTTTGGGGTAGGGTATGTATAATCAAAAATTTAGGTCTGGGATAGGGTCAGGGTTCTTTTGAGGTCCTGGCGGCACATATCCCTACCCAAGTTGGGGTGGTAGTACCCCCCCCCCCTCCCCTCTACTCCGGGGCCATAGGTGGCGAGGACCTTTGCAAACAGGCGTCATACATAGCGGTCCTACAATTTTAATCCTGGTGACGACCATTGGATGTGGTACGTCATCCTGCCTGTCAATGCACCTTCCCGGTCACCAAGCAGTTTTACTTCTCCTTGTACTAAGGGACGGACAATTAGATTTTTGAGGGTTGGGGGCTGGGCAATCTCTTTCGTGCAGGAAATTTTATTTTACGCCTCATGGCTGTGCAGGAATATTTTTTGGACATAATTTGGATTTTTTTCGGGCACTTTTCTTATGCATGCGCAAACTGATATTGAGTAAACATGTTTCCCGATGTTCCCTGACAGTTTTGCCACCTTTGGAAACATTTAAGAAAACATTTAAAATGTTTAGCCAGGGCCTAAGATTATGATTAGCAATATCTCAGCCCAATTTCAATCAAAACGTTTATCCGATTTTTTAAGTTTCTGATAAAGTTTTAATTTGAGTTTCGCAATCTTTACGAAGTTACTGAACTACCCTCATGAAGTTAGTCAAAATTCCTTCTTAGGTAACTAAGGCCCCGTCCACACGTATCCGGAAATTTTTGTATACGCAAATTATTTTTTGCGGATACGAAAATGTTTGCGTCCACACGCATTGTATTCGAATCGTTTTCACCGTCCACACGTATCCGTTTTTGTAAAATTTGCGGATACGGATACAAAAATTTGCGGACACGTGTGGACGCAACCCGTATCCGCAAAAAAAAAAAAATTGCGGATACAAAAATTTCCGGATACGTGTGGACGGGGCCTAAAGAGAGGAGTTCACATAAAGGGCCCTTCGACTGCATAAAAACATTTTTAATTAAAAGATCACAGCAATAGTTTCTATTCTCGTGTACTCCAGGGAGACCTAATCTCAGTTTTGCTTTGGATTCAACCACAATATTAACAAGGGATGGAACATTATATAATTAAGGAGGTGGTTGCGAAAATCCCCCCCAAAAAATCGAGCACTTTACCCATGAAAAAGAAAAAACCCAACCAACCTCTCCTTTCAGTAAAGAAATAACGAGCAAACACAAACACACACACACATAAATGCGTGCAACATAAATTCCTGCAACCTCCACCCCCCTCAATTATCTAATTGTCCACCCCTTAGTACATTTTTGTATACTCTCTCTCAACCGTGAAGTACTATACTAACTAGAGTAGAGTTCAAACACTATATCCATCAAACAGAAGGAAAAGTTGAGTGATCCAACAGATATTAAATAGCAATATTATTTTACCGCTRTTCCAAAACATTGCTGGTGAAGGTTTCGTTGCATGCTGCATACCAGGCCCGTAACACACTATAGCTGAATGCCATCAGCGAAAGGTTACAATATGAAATTTCCCAAACTTTGTCTGCACATTTTCTCGGCATATTTTTGGTATGCGACATCATAAACCTTCGACAATCTTTTTTGAAATAGCTGTATAATTCGAGATGTCTGGGTTTTGGGCTTCAAATTTTCGATGGTCTGAGTTAGAATTATTTGGGACTGGATGTTGGTCGCGTAATGGACTACATCGACGATGCGGCGGCCATCTTGAAACGCAAGGCATCATGAGACATCATCCACAGGGCAAATTACTAAAGCTTTGTAACAAATAATGGCTTAGAGTTTACACTTTGACGGTTCACAACAAGACAATTTCAAAAGAGATCAATTAATATTAGTGAACAGTTCCACAGCTGAGGAAATTCCTCAAATAACGTGGAGTCATCATTTCAGCATCTTCGCTTTGTTTTGCCCCCTGGATGACCCATGATGCCTTGCGGTTCAAGATGGCCGCCGAATCGTTGAAGTAGTTCATTATGAAAATGGATGCGACACTTAGGCCTAGTGCAAACGTCGAACTTTCCATGCACCGAACTCATTAAAAACAATGGATATCTGGTGATGATGAGGAGGCATTCTTTGAAGTAATTAAGTTCGTTGCATGGAAAGTTCGACGTTTGCCCTAGGCCTTAGAACGCAAGCACAACAAATACCAGACACGCCTTTTCGACTTCATTAATGGTTGTGAGCTATCAAGAATGTGGAGGAGTGCGGATTGTTAAAACTTTGAGTGTCGTAGATAGAAGAATAACAATAGACAACTAATAAGGAAAGTATCGCATGAAGAGATTTCTTAGGTTACGTCATTTTCACAATATTTTWAATCAAAATATCAAGCCTTCCGTTCCTTTCATAGACCATCATTTTGTCTTGGGCGTATTTTTATCCCATTTCAGACCACGTGTCATTCTCTTGAGAATAAGATTCTTTGTTTGAGTTGTATCGATATTCACGTGTCTTATCATGCGCAACCGTTATAAATAAAGAAATTCTATTCTTGGGAATGACACGTGGTCTGAAATGGGGAAACATTAGATCTTTTTAGCTTCGTTGTTTGTTGTGCACATTTCAGACCATGTGATGCCACTCTTGGGAGTTTATTCTTTCATGTGTAAATACTTAAACATGTTCGTCATAAAAGAACAATTCTCAAGGGAATGTCAAGTGATCTGAAATGGTCAAGTTGCATACGAAGCTAAATATAAAAAGGTAAACTCGAACGGAAAAACCTTGTTTCTATTTCTGGTTTCGCAGGTGTGAGTTCATGAATTAAAATTCAAATACCCGACAGGTGCAGAGAAGATGAAAGGAAAGAAAAAAAACTTTGAGATAAAAGCACGCAGTAGAGGCATGCATGGTGTGGCCCCGCCATAGTGACGACTCTAGACAACTTTGTATCTTCCAGTCTGTTGGGGTCCACGAAATGTTCCCTTTAAAATGACAAACAAAATAATATTATTAAATCAATATCATAGGATATTAGGAAGTATACATGAATAATATATGGCTCTCATTCCCGGAAGAGGGGGGTGGGGATCCGGGGTAAACAAATTTGCGTAAAAATCAGGGATTTGGTATCTTTTAGGGCGCTAAAATTGAAATTTAGAATTTTAGCATTTTTAAATATCTTTGAGGGTGTCCAACCACACCCTTCCGGTACTCTTGCAAAAAGGGCAGATGTTTTAGGTGTATTTTAGAAGCTAATGTCTGTGGAGAAAACTACCCGCGCACACTACCCGTGAATGTATAGACCTGCCGTGACCGTGACAGTGGTGCATCCTGGTATCCAGGCAAGGGTTTTGTGAATGGCTTACGTTGCCGTGACGTATTTCGTGTCTACTCTTTAAGAAACGATGCATAATATTAGGTCGTTACTTACCAATCGTACGAGTTCTTCTTTAACAATCCGTTTGATCTCCACTTTAGCGAGTTGAATAGCACGTTCAGACGGACCTGAAACAATAATCGTTAACTTTGTAAGCGTAGGGTAGCATGGGTGACGTACGCTGTTAACGCGTAGTCTTTCACCGCTGTGAGTCCAACGGGTTGGGTCGCTGGTTCGAGCCCTGCGGTCGCCACATGTGAATTGAGTTTGTTTGATGTGTTGTTCTCTCGTATGCTACGAGGGTTTTCTCCGGGTTCTCTGATTTCCTCCCTTTGTAAAGATCAACATGTGAGTTGAGTGCTGTATGCATCCTTCCCTTCCTTCTTCTCTCTTTCTCTCTCTTCAGTTCCTTTCTCTTTTTTCTCTTTTCCTTTCTTCCTTCCTTCCCTCCTTTTATTTTTTTCTTTTCTCCATCCTTTTCTCTTCCTTTTTTCATCTCGTTATCGTTGATAGAGAGATTAACAGTGGAGTTCTGCTCTGTGGGGTTTCCCTGTCCATAAGGCAAAACATATCCTTGATACCAAAAGACCTCTAATAACAGTAATATAACTCACCTTCGATATACAGATAAATCTTTCGTTCTCCTTCCTTGGGTTCTTTGCCTGAAAATAACCATACAAGTTTTAAAAACGATTCTCATTCAAAATTTATTCTCAAGCGCTCTATTAAATTTTTCTAGAGTTCTATGGTGAAACAAGTGTGTACTGAACTGGACGATTTATCTTTTGCAAGAGAGAGAGAGCGAGAGAGAGAAAGAGAGAGAGAGGGGGGGGGGGGTCTAGTTTGCCACACGTATCCGGAAACTTTTGTATCCGCAAATTATTTTTTGCGGATACGAAAATGTTTGCATCCACACGCAGCGTATTCGAATCGTTTTCACCGTCCACACGCATCCGTTTCGTAAAATTTCCGGATACGGACACAAAAATTTGCGGACACGTGTGGACGCAACACGTAACCGCAAAATAAAAATTGCGGACACAAACATTTGCGGATACGTGTGGACGGGGCCTAAATATACTTAGTAGAGTTGAGGAAATACTATGACTGAGGGAAAGGTATTTCTTGTCCGGCCATATCTTTGTAGCAGTGATTCACTGTCGTTCTACTCTAACCGTGAACAAACGAGTTTATTTTCTTTATTTATTTATTTATTTATTTATTTATGTTAATATACTTTTATTCTTCTTTCTCTTTCATCATTTCCTCTCCTTGAATAGCTTTTAAATACTTTCAATACATGGAACTTGAATTCTATTGTTTTCGTTCCGTAATCTGATTAGTTGACAAATTCGATTGGCTCGATTGTGATTGGCTAACCTGGAGGGAAGTATGTTCCTCTGACGGTAACAGCACATTCAGAATACTCTGTGATAGCCATGATAGTATCCTACAAATAAAACAAGCGCAAGCATTGAGAATGGACTATACTTTTATGGGGGCAAAATAAAATGATGATGACGTATAATATATAGAGATTGGGAAGTAGCGTTGAGAGCTCCCCTCTCGCAAATGCGGTCTGGGTTCGAGTCCCGACAAGCT